AACCTCAGCAACCCAAAAAAGAATGAGAAACAGAAGAGAAGAGAGTGGTCCAACATGGCTGATGGGGCCAATGGGTATCTGAGTTAAGGGTTCCAGGCTCGTAAGAGCGACTCTGGTTAGGCTCCTACGCTACGCAGGAGGCGGCCGCAGTCGCCCACGGCGTCACTTGTTATTGTTTACGTCATCCGTTGTTTTTGTTTGGCCGTAACTTCCCCGAACTGCTGCCTCCCAGTTGTGTGAAAGCGAATATTATGTCGCCAAAGTCCGTGCAAAAAGCTGCGTCGGACACTGAAATTGGGATAGATGCACAATGATAGGAAGTAGATCGGGAAAAGATGAAAGGGAGGAGAAAGAAAGCGGTGCAATTCAGAGCCGGGGGACGCCATTTGGGGAAGTGATCATCAGAGTTATGATTATGGGAGCTGTTGAAGATTATAGTTATCGAACTGTTGAAGATTATAGTTATCTCAATTACTAGTTCGATCTTCTGTTTTTTTTTTTTTTTCATCAAAACTTTGTTTAATTAAGAAAATAGTAGGTCGACATGCAGTGAAGTCTACATCTTGTATTAGTGACCAAATCAGATCTTGATTTATACTGATTAATTAAGATTCAGCTGGAGGTTCAAGGTTGTAATCAACTCGAACTATAAATATTTGACTGTTTGACCAATTTAGCTAAGGGGCTCTACGAAAAGGATTGTTTATGATAAACAAACTAACTATTTATTCAGTCCTTTAAACGGCAATTCAAGTTAAAACACATCTGACACATTTTTTTATTTCTAGTTATTTGACGTTATTGTAGGGCAATGGCTTTACATCAAAGAAATTAACCTCAACTTTTAACATCTTTATCTTAAATATTTAATTTTTATAATTTTGTAATAATACAATCACTCTATACTTAATCTGAAACTTTACAAATTTAATAACATCATTAAAAAAGACTTTCTAAAATGCGCAAATATATATCTATATCGGCGCGTCACTCAAAGAATTCTCCTACACCGGCGCCCACATCATTCAAACACCGGAAAAAGCTGGTTGGGGAATAAGTTTACCGATGCAAGAGAGTAGCATCGGAAAATATATATCTATATCGACTCGGTATTCCGACATTATTTTTTGTCAAGTTAATGACTTTTTCCCACCCAAACAAAAGTTAACGGTAGTTTCTAACCCTCAGACTTTTAACATACTACTTTAGTACGCAAAACACAATTTTGTTTGTAATTTTTGTTGTGGGGAATGGCAAGATGGTCAAAAGTCCGTTACAAATGAGGACATAATGATCAACAAATATTTTGCATCTGAAATCAAAAATTAAAATTCCAAAGGACAGCCAACAGTAGAGAACGAATATTCACAAATAGTGAGTAATCAAATACTGGAGTTTGAGGGGTTTTGAAAAGGGAAGATTGGGGGTTGAAACTGTGGTGGAAGATTGGATTTTGGCCACTGGAATCAAGTAAAATCGGCACAAAAACAGTGAAACCCTAAATGGTGGAGAGCGACAAACGATGTGCAATTGGCATCGGGAAGGTTGGGGGTTTTGAGATGGGGGGGTTCGTGAGTTGATTGATGGTCTCAAAAGGGATTGTAGATACTGGAATCGGTTAGCAAATGGCAAGAATTGTGCGAACCAACAATGGGCTTTTCCTGTCGATTCCGTTATTGGAAATCGTCCATATCACCACTAATCAACTCCCTGGACCTTCCTCTCTAAAAGCCCCAATATTCCTGATCCTATTTGCTCACCAATCACTGACGATTGAAGCTTCCCTACCTTAGGATTTTTCAAGTTTTGATCACCTAATTGGATTTGATTCGTTCAGTTTTTGTGTTTGTTGGGTTGACATTTGAAAGACGATAGAGGAGTGTTTATTTGCAATATTTGTGGTTTGTTTTTTTATTTTTTGGTCGCTAGCACTCCCCAATGCTGGTAGCAATTGCTGGTAATGGAATAGGCTAAGAAGAGAAAAAAAAAAACTTTTTTTTTTCTTTTGTAAATCACAGTACTTCACACCCAAACTAGAGAGAAACATAATATTTAGATAGTACATAGGTATATTAAAAGTCAGGATAGAAAAATGTCATTAATCTTTTCTTTCCGTGGAAAAAAAGTTATTAACTCAATTTTTGTTTAATGGAACTTTACCACAAAGTGTCATAATTTTTCAAATTTCCAAGTCTCCCAACATTTAATTTTGGGGCCAACTTGAACTTGCACATTCGAACAACGTCCTTTTTTTTTTTTTTTTTAATTGGATAAACCTTTCTCTTACTTTGACCTTTGAAAATTTTGGTTTTCTGATTCTCCCTTCTTCTAACTAAATCAAATACTCAAAAATCATACAACCAGTTTGTCACTGACTTTCTCTTCTTCAACCTATATTCATCATATAATTCTAAGCTTGTTTACATAGACCACCGTCTTTAAAGATTATGACTGCGATTATCTCAAGTAGTTTTTTGCTTTTACTCTTTTGTTCATCAGGATTTAGTTTTTATCGAACTAACCATGGCTGGGCAGTGGGCAATGAAGCTGGGAGGCTTTTGTATATTCTTAGTTAGTTAATTTATATAAAAGTATATGAATGAGTTTTGTGTAACATGTAACGAACATTTTTCTGGTCCAGACTCTAGATGTTTTAATTAAATGGTATAATATAATATGTCGACGTAGAAGGTCTTTTTATTTTATTTTATTTTATAAATATGTTTAAATGTGAACGATTAGTCCTTCACTTCACAGAATATTAAATAAAAGTTAAATATTAGTCGTCATTTTTGGTTTGCATTTTAAAAAACTCCATAAAAGTTAACTATTAGTCGACTTGGCCCTTTATGTCTTGGCCCTTTCTGGCAACCCAAGGGCCAAGACGGCAAGTATTGCCTTGACACCTGGCCCCACGGGTTGCAGCATTTCCTTCTTTAATGTGTTTTACTAAATATGCACGTGTTTACAAAAGTTTTTCACCTAGAGAAAATTAACCGTGTGGGAGTATATCGTAGGAATATACTCAAATACGTTCTTCATAATTGTTGAGCACGTTATTTATTTATTTATTTATTCTATACCACAAAGTACTAATTTCTAAAGGGAAACTTACATAGGCCTACCTTAGATTTTGTGAAACTACGATGATATTCCAAACGTTTTAAAAACTAACGGAGACCTAGACTTCCGTTAAGTAAAGTGTTAAATTTTGAGCAATTACAAAATTACCCATCTTAGAATAAAGATAGGTGATTTGAATCTTAACCCTAAAAGTTAAATGCACAATCAACCTGTTGGGTAAAATACAATTTATTAACATTTAAAAGAAGTAAAATACATAATCCATTTAAAATAGAATAAAGATTAATATAAAAACTAGGGGTGTTATCAAGCCAAGCCGAGCCGAGATTTGAGGTGCTAAAGCTTGGCTTGGCATGAATAGGAAGAGCTCGAGCTAGGGAGACAAAACTTGTTGATCGAGATCGAGATCCAACCTCAGAAGATCAAAATGAAGTTCAAGCTAGTAGCTGTTCAAAAGCAAGACAGAGAGCCAGCAGCAGAGGCAAAGACAAAGCAAGTTGAATTTGATGAATCAAAACAAGTTTCCCTAATTTACAAGGTATACCTATAAGCACCAGTTTTAAAGCCATAAGAAGATTCACTCGCAACATAGGCGTTTTATCGAGATTTAGAACAATTGTACTTTATCAAGTTGACCGGGCAAGAATAGCAATGTGAGTAGCAATTTTATACCCTACTACAGCTTAGACGATTGAAGGGGGAGAGAAAGAGAAGAAGGAGAAAAAGAGAGAAGGAGAAGAAAGAAGAAGGAAAGAGAAGGAGAAGTGAGTCGCCGGATGAAGAAGAAGCTAGGGGTTTTGGAGAATTTTCAATTTTATATGCAAAATGGTAATTTAATGTACCCCCTAGTAGTTGAAGACTTGCATATATCTCCCTGTTGAGCTCGGCTAAGCTCATGAGTTGCTCGAGCCAAATATTGAAGAGCTTGAGCTTGAGCTCGACTCGACACTCGAGTCGCTTGATCTCGAGCTTGGCTCAACCAAAGTCGAGTCGAGTTTGGGCTCGACCCGAGTTACTCACGAGTGAACAGCTTGGCTCGACTAACACCCTTAGTCAAAACCCTTGAAATCCCAAATAAAATTGTCAAACCAAAACCTAATCAAATAACTGAAACTCCAAATTAAATTCAAGTGGCGTCGTGTAGTGATGAAGTAAGGCTGCTTGTGGTGGCAAATTGCAATGTCGAGACTCGAGAATAATGAGTTCTGAGCCGGCTGCAATACAACTTAGAGTGGCTATATCACGGTGAGGTGTGGCAAGATTGCAGCCTGCAATTTGGCCACAACAACCCATATCGCCAACCACACAATTCTGAGGTTGGATTGAGATGGCTGGTCATGATTTTTGACCACTGATGTTTTTTTTTTTTTTTTTTTTTAAGTATTTTGATTTAGATTTATTTTTAAGGAGGGTAATTTACGGTTTTGAAGACAGTAGGATTTAAGGTTTTGTATTAAAAAACGAGGGTAATTTAAAGATTTTTACAGAAATGAATATTTAAAAACTATTTACCACTCTAATGTTAATTTTATGGAGAACAGTTTAGTTTTGTGTAGATTAATTCGTTTTCCAAAAGGTTTTGTGGGTCATTGACTTTTCAAAATAACCAATGTTTTGGCTTGTGCATTGCCTTCTCAAACTTGGACTTGCTCAATCAATCACAGCCCTTATTTTCATTGGATAAAACTTTCTCTTATTTTGACCTTTGGAAATCTTGACTTTCTCACCGTCCTATAAATTATAATACCACTGGCTCCAGTTGGCCTCTGACTTTTTCTTCTTCAACCTATATATACAAGCTCTTGCTTTACTTCTTCTCCAAATCATCATATTCTCAAGCTTCTTCAATCCTTAAAGCTTATACATTTTTGTCAACTTTATCCCGAAAAATAGTACTTAAAAATTCTAAAAACACTTCTGAAATGCAATCAAATAGCCTAAAGAACAGATCAGAGAGTGGTCCAAGCATGGCTGAAAAGAAGTACAAGGGAGTTCGCAGACGAAAATGGGGCAAATGGGTGTCGGAAATCAGGGTTCCAGGTTCAACAGAGCGGCTCTGGTTAGGCTCCTATGCTACGGCAGAGGCGGCTGCGGTTGCCCACGATATTGCTTTCTATTGTTTACGTAGACCGCCGTCTTTGGATGGCCTTAACTTCCCTCAACTGTTGCCTGCGAGGTGTGTGGATGCAGCCTTGTCACCGAAGTCTGTACAGAAAGCTGCTTCGGATGCCGGGATGGGCATCGATGCGCAGATGATCGTGAGCAAGTCGTTTAAAGAGGCGATGGAGGTTAATGAAAGTGGTGGGATTCAGGGCTTTGAAACACAGTTTTTGGGCAATGAGAGTAATGATTCTGGGACGTGGAAGGAGAAGGAGCTGAGCATTTCTGTTGAAGATTATGATTATGATTAGTGAAACTACTGTTTTTGTTCTCGCTTATTCTTTTTCCTTGTTCGACAAGATTTAGCTTTTAATAAATCACCGTACATATTGAAATTTCTCAAGTGCAGAGATTCAGATTCTTTCTTTTTATAAAACATCGGCAAGAAAGAATGAACTTAACATACTTCTCAGTTCTCAGTACTAAATAAAAATAAAAATCATCACATTTCCTGAAAGCGTTTTGTATTTATGTATCTATTCGAAGTTCAGAAGACACGTTATTATGTTTTAATAATCGTGTATCACATTTATGATTTAGGACTAGTAAAAAAAGAGTTCAAAATTTAAACATTATTTGGAAGCTCCTTTGAATATAATTTAAGTTGAAATAAAAAGAAGAGTTTACTTATTTGTTAGATGCACAGGACTAGATTGAATTCCATCTGAATCTTTGATTCATTAAGATTCAGGTGGAAGTTATTTGGCAGTCAAACCAATATTCAGTTTAGTCAATTTGACAAATAATAAAGCTGGACTTTGTTCAAACTTGGAAGAATATCTGCTAGCTTAGCAAATCAACTGACATGACGACTTGGACTTTGGTTAATAACTTTTCAGAAACAGTTGGATGATGGAATAAGACTATTTGATATAGTAATCAAGGCGTAACGAGTTTAATTTTTTTTTTTTCCAATGATTAACTTTAAAGTCTCGATTAATTAAGATATATATAAGTTAATTTGGATATTTTCGATCACAAAATAATAAAAAAAATAAAAGAAAAACTTTTCTATGGACTGATTTCATAAAATATTCTTCAAATTAGGCAATTAATACTGAAAAGATGGAAAGCCGTTTAAAAAATATATATATTGATAATATAATACATTCAAAATCGATAAATATTATGATAATATAATTTTAAACCGTATTTAAGGGTGCACTTATGGTTGCTATCATTTATTTCTTTAAGCTAATAGCCAAAAAGTGTTTAATAAATACATTTGAAAAGTGGTTGTGACTTGTGAGAAAAGCAGATTATGAAATAATGTTTTGTAAAACAATTTTAAAAACAAATTTTTGTAGGCCTTTAGATTTCATAAGCTACTTTAAAAGAGTCAATTATACAAATACTCCCAAAAAAATACTTAAGATCTAAATTTTTATATACAAAATTTATACAATTAATTTAATTAAATAATAAAAAATATAGAAATTGGCTAACCAGTTGCCACCGACGGGGGACGACCACCGTTGTTGGCAACGACAAATAAGATGTCACCACCAACACCATTGGAATCCCATTCTAATTTTGCCATTTTTGAGAAACTTTCTAGACGTGATTACAATATTTTTCAATCAGAAACTCTTAACATATTGTCAAAGAAAGCTCCGCAAAAGTTTTTTTTTCTCAAAAGCACTTCACGTTTCACGTCCTCTCGTGCAACATATTATTGTCATGTCTACTGCTTTTAGATAAAAAACATGTAAATGTTCCCATTTTGTTGATTGAGATGTTAATTACCGTAATTTGAATTCGTGTACTTCTAGAATACTCGTGTATCTTGCTTTGATATGACAACCTTATAATGTCCATCACAAGTTTTTATTGTTTTTATAAAATATTTAATAATGTCATGCATCTTGTTGATGTTGGTATGACCGATGACTTGTACGTTTGACCACAATTTGGGCAATAAAAAGTTTTAAGTAGATCAGGATTTAATCATTTATTATCTTATAATAGTAATTCACGTGTTGTAAGAAAATTCCTTTGAAATTTGTATTATAAAGTTTTTTAAGAAGAGTCTTTAGTTAATCATTGATTTATAAGGGTTTATTTATTATTTATTTTTTTAATTTGTTTTTAACTGTGATGTTTGAGTCAACTTATTCTAAAGTAGTTTGAATCTAAAAAATCTATTAAAAGAATAAATTTTTTTTACCCTCAAACCAATTGGTTGATGTTAATTTATAAGGTTGATGTACTAAGTAGGCTTAGTTTGTTTTGGTGAGAAGATTGAGGTCAAGGTGAACCACTAACTGTCAGTCAAACTAATAATTTAGTCAATTTAATTGACTAATCAATTAGGCTAATAATGGAATATTAGACTTAAAAAGACAAAGATATATGTCTATATTGGCCGACTTCATTTACCAAGGTGAATGTTAAAATAGAAGTCAAAGATTTTACCAAGGTGAATCTCTCCTGGGTTAGGCAGGCAAAGATTTACGACTTAGACTTGTTTAAACCATGGAAAATATAATTAAATTTCTTGGCATTGACCATGGACTCCCTTTTCATTTTTTATTATCCTAACTTACGTTGGCAGTTGATTCTTTCCGAAAAAGCGTAATAATACTTCACTTATTTGTTTAAGAGAAATTGTAACAATTTTGGTTCAACTGTAATCCCCCATTTAAGTCCGGTAATTAATTGGATAACTTTTACCCTATAAATTTGTTTATGAGAAATTAATTATGATCAGATGGATCTACTAAATAGATATATACTTCACTTATTTGTTTAAGAGAAATTGTAATAGTTTTGGTTCAACTTTAATCCCCCATTGAAGTCCGATAATTAATTGGATAACTTTTACCCTATAAATTTGTTTATGAGAAATTAATTATGACTAGTTGGATCTGCTAAATAGATATATACTTCGCTTATTTGTTTAAGAGAAATTGTAACAGTTTTGGTTCAACCGAGCAAATATTGTCCATTTTAGGACTACTTTTATGTGGTTCTATTTTTGAGTTTACATAATTATTGTTTACCCAAAATATATTTATTTAGTTGAAGGGATCTAAGACTTGAGTCCGTTTAGTAGGGCTTTTTCAAATAGAACTTACCATAGAATAGCTTATTAGAGTAGAACTTTTGTGAAAAATTGTTGGAGTTTTTAACATTAATTTATCAAAAAAGGTTTTAATATACAAGCATATAGTAAGAGAAATTTATAAAATTGAACTGGGATATTTTCTTTTCAATATTTTTAATAAACTCAAAAAGAGTTTATAGGATTTGAGCTTCTCTTATAAGCCATAAAATAACATATTTATAATCTTACAAACACTTTTGAAATGTAACCAAACAATTTGAAATTTTTTCAAAAGTGCTTTTAGCTTTAAAGAAATTGTTTTCGCCGGTAGAGAAGCCTAACCAAACAGGCAATCTTAGATTCTTAATGGATGTTGATGTAATAAAAAAAGTTTGTCACTTTGTAAAAATTTTGTTAATTAAGTTGCATGTACTTCTTAATTTTTATAATAAGGTTTGAAGGAGAAAAATGAAAAAATAATAGTCATGATTTATGATTTAGATTTGAAATTAAGTGATAAAGCATCCACTTTTTATTTTACACGAAAGTTTACTTTATCTTATTCTTATCATGAATACATTTTAGGAGTCGATGCGATCTTTTTAGCACTACTCGGTTCCATTTATTGTTATCACTATATATGTATTTTGTGAGACAATTTCTTCTATGAAAAAGGCGGATAATGCTAGAATTTATACTGTCTTTCTATTTTGATTTGTTCTCTCCAATATGTAAACTCTCAACTCATAATTTAATTTAGAAAGTTTATCATGAAGATAATAATTAAATTAGTATTTTAGGTCAATATAAAAAGATAAACAAAAAGTAGAATCATATGTTGTTTTATATAGCCATATGCTCTTGAATTTTGTTTTAAAAAAACTAATATATAAGTCTTTTTAATATTTATTGTTTAATCATAGTTACAATATTATGTATGTGCTGCTTTATATTTCAACTGTTATAATATAATATTTCTTAGTTTAGATTTAGTATTTGGTTAGAATATATTGATTAATTATTCATTTTATAATAATTAGATTAATATTTAGTGTAAATTAATGTTAAGTTTTTATTTAGACTAATTGAGTATATGGTTTTATTTGTGTTGTCCTCTTGATAATCAATATATAAATATTTATCTTAATTTTTGAAGCGTTTAGTTAATGTGTACCTTCCTTTATAGATTTTATGAGTTTTTCATAGACAGGTGCTTTGCATACGAACACGTTTCTGAAAGGAATAATGGAAATTCTTATTTTCTTGGCATCAACTTTTAATTTAATATGAGATTCTATGTCCATTTATATGAGGAATATATGTGCTAGCTTGACTAATAATATAATAAACTATAAAAGTGTCTTTATACAATGAAAAATTCTATTTTTTGTGCATTTCAATTAATTTTAAGAGTACTGTTATATTTATATTATTTATTATATCATTTTTATTATACTATGATGTGATATATGTCACAACTATATAAATTTTTAATCATTTTAAAATTTTAATATTATAATAAAATAATTATTAGTAAAATAATCATAATCTAATAAAAAATGTAAATGTAACATTATTTAATTTTAATGAGTTTACTCATCGAGATAGTATAACTGATATTATATTAGTTGAATTTGAGAATGATAAGTTGGACTTTTATGGATATTATATTATGTACTTCTTTTATGGATATTTTTATGTACTTCCTTGACCACAGGAAATCCTGTCTCTACCTACGAGCTACGAACTATGTCCTGACTTAAGAAGAAAATGTCGGAATACACAACAAACTGACAAAGTCCGCAAGGACCGCAACCTGTCGTAGTATCGAAGGTAAGGGCAGATATATTTCTCACAATGCGGTCAGAGTCGTAAATATTTCTCTGTAGCGACATAGTATATTCGTGTCTGGATATTGATACTACGACGTATATAAAACCACATACGATGGCGACTTTTTTGCGTTATATTGAAGGTACAACGACACAGTGCTTGCGTCCGGATACAATTAATTTCTTGTACAGTTTATACAAAAACATAAATGAGAAATAAAAGGAAAAATGATAATAATAATAATAATAAAAACTGTATGAATTATTCTTTGATCACTTACATGGTGATGAGAGAAGGAAAAAAAAGAAAAGAAAAAGAAAAGGTAATAGAGAATTTGTGCGTCTTAACGATTAATTCCGTTGGTACATTTCTTACTAATTAAGAATCATCTTTTGGAAAAGTGATAAAGTAAAGATTGACCTACAGTTAATTAATCTACAAAAGTGATAAAATATGCTCTCTTTTCCTTCTTGGTTTCTCCTTTTTCTCTATTTTTTTTGTTTAGAAAAAAAAAAAAAATTCTGCTAAACTAAACAGGGGAAGAAATGTGCAAGTTGAATTCCAAATAAATTGTAAATTTATGTATCTCATTATATGAAGTCGACATCTAATTGGTTTGCATTATTTACTTTCAAGTAATTAAATGCATTTAATATTTACATTAAAAGCAAAATCCATAATCTTTATAATAATAATAATAATAATAAAAAGTCACCTACGTTTTTATTCTTTAATGGAATATTACATTCTAGTCATATTCATTACAAAATATAAGACCATATAATTCTTACCATTTTTTTTTTATAAAGACAGATATTAAAAATACTTTTGACTTTTGAGTTAAGGTAGCATGACGAAGAAGAGCTGACGCATAAGAACTAATTAAAGCAAATAGATGATTGAGAAAATTAAGAACATGAAAAATACTAACATACAAATTATATATTATTCTAAACAAAACAAATTAACCTAACTCAAAATGAATTAAAAAATATATATAAGAGATTAATTTAATAAATACTTAATAAATGAGGATGGATGATATAATAATTTATATAAAAGAATATTATACATATATTTGTATTAAGGTTCTTTGAAAATTTTCATTTGTGGATATCATAATTTTTATAAAATCCAAACAAAACTTCCTCATATAAGAATTAAAAAGCCTATTAAAAGATAAATTTTCGACTAAATGTTTCATTCAAGAAAACTTCAAATTTTTTATCTTTTTTTTTTTTTAAAAATTAAATAAAAATCAGGCATCTATAGGGAGAAAGTAATTAACTTATTTGACTCAACGACTGCCTCACATTAAGCAAAGAATCTCTACTTTAAACCACATAAAGTAGGTGAATAAAAATTAAATTATTTGATCTCAACTTTTTGTCAAGAGACGTAGACGTAATGGATGTTTGACATATACAAAAAAGAAGGGCCATTAATGCTTTATAAAAGGGAAGGAGACAAGTTAATTAAGCCAATTACTAGATTAAGTCGGAGATGGAGAGCTATCAGGATAAACGGCCGACATTTGACAAACCAAAAAATATTCATGAGTGTGCTCAGTCAGGAGATGTTCTTGGCTTACAAAAGCTACTTCAGGACAACCCTTCTCTGCTCAATCAAAGAAATGCCGTTGTAAGGTTTCTTCTTTATTATTTGTTCTCTTATATACATATGATAAGGTTGGTGAAGTTCACCAACCTTTAATAATCCTTGGATTTTTACGATTTAACAGTTATTAAGCGACCGGTAACATTATCAACCTGGTAACTTAACATTAGCTCAATTGATCATGAGGGGTCCTAGTACCTTACCCTGTAATGCTACTGGTGTTAAAATTTGTGCTCTCAAGAATTAATTTTGGATTTATTTCGTCAAATTTATTTATTAATATTTCATATATACTTGTGAGCTTTTTATGTATCTGATCTTGGCTTTGAACTAATTTGAGTGCAGATGTCAGAGACTCCTCTTCATATTTCTGCTAGTTACGACAAGGCCGAAATAGTTAAATTTCTGTTGGAATGGGAAGGAAACGATAAGGTTGAGTTGGAGGCCAAGAATATGGTATGGAAAATTAATTATGTTTTATTATAGCCAAATCAGAACATTTATGTACTATTCATAGGAATATTTGATTAATTTGATATCAATAAACATGCTTAAACAAAGTCTACGACATGTGAAAGCACTTTAATGAGTGCAAATCTTATATTCAATAACTTTATACTCTCCTAAGTATAAAATTCTAGAACAACACCTCTTTCATACTAAAAATATGAGGATAGATCATTAATAATATATTGTGAAGTCATAAAAATGGTATTTTTTTTTAATTATTATTATTATTATTTGGTATTAGATCATATATATGGAATTTTAACTCGATTAATTGATAAAAAAATAAGTGTAGTTTAAGATAAAATTCATTAAAAAAAAAAAAAAAAAACACTACATGAGACTTTCTTTAAAAAAAAAAAAATTGATGTTAATAGGGTTTAGTTGATCTCCTTGATTGGCTTATTTGTTTTCATTTTGGGTGTTAATTTGTTGAGTTTTGCAGTATGGAGAAACTCCATTGCATGTGGCAGCCAAGAATGGGTGCAATGAAGCTATACGGTTACTTCTTTCTCATGGTGCTCTCGTTGAAGCGAAAGCTAATGTGCATATTCTCTTAGCAACTTAATTATATATTTTCCCTTTTAGTTTTTGTTGTGTTCTTTTTACTCAGCTTGTTCGCCATTTTATACCCGCAGAATGGAATGACACCACTGCACCTTTCTTTTTGTCACTCAATCCGATCAGAAGATGGCTCAATCATCAAGACATTGCTCGAAAACAACGCTGATTGCAGCGCTACAGATAATGTAATATCGATTGCGATTACATTGTCTATCTTAAGATTCTAAAAATAATTTTGTGCATTATTGGCTAACCCTTCGAGTTGCAGGAGGGCATGACGCCTGTAGATCATCTTTCAAAATGGCCGGAAAGTGGGGAGTGCTTGCGTGAGCTATTAACATCGCATAATGAAGAGCAGCGAAAGAGAAAGGCACTTGAATGTTGTGGTGAGGTGAAAGCTAAGATAGATGCACTTGAAAAAGAACTGTCAAAAATTGTTGGTTTGCATGAGCTCAAGGCACAGCTTCGGAAATGGGCAAAGGGGATGATTTTGGATGAAAGACGTAGAGCTCTTGGGCTCAAAGTTGGCAATAGAAAACATCTTCATATGGCATTCCTTGGCAATCCCGGAACAGGTAACTTTAATTTGTTGATTAATTGCTTTTTCCATTTCCATTCTTTCAACAAGCCAAATCATATTAATTTATAGTCTAAATACTGATACCGTAAAAGAAAGTGGGGGTATTTTCTTCCACTTAAATCCAAAGGAATACGATGAAAAGATTGAGTGTACTTAGAAGAGATGCAAAAAGGAGATATAGTAAAAGATTATTTTTGACAATAAAACAAAATACCATTTAAAAATTAATTTACAAAATATATTTAATTAAAATTGGTGTTTAGAAGAAGTTTTAAATGAGCTCAGTTAACGCCACTCAAAGACATTTGGGTTTCTGGGCTTTAGCTGGACCTCTTTATTGGGTTTTTGACATTTCATTTGTCTCCAAGAATTATATTTTAAGAAAACGTCACAAAAAAATAAACGTTGTGTTATAAAAGTATGTATATCACTTTGGCTACATTATTTATATCTTGTTAATCAGTTAAATATCAAAGTGATATGATTTTTTTTTTTTTTTTTGTTTCTAGTCAGAAGCTGAATGATAGGGATTTCAGATTTTGATTGTTGAGGCTTCAGAAAATCCAATTGATGTTGAAATTCTACCAAACTGTTAGGTATGCCTTGAAAATGTTGTAGTCCTTCAGTTAGTACAATTTGTTGGCGAGACTGGACTCAAGACTAGGGAACAGGTGCACCCTTTACTTATATTTGTTTGTAAATAGAGAGATAGGTAAATATGTGAATTGGATTGGATTCTCTTGATTTGATTGTTTACTTTAACAATAACACTTGTGACTCGTAAGTATAAATATGATATCTAAAAATTATATGAACATATATGTAATGAATTGTTAAAAGTCATATATACTTAAAAGTTCCGGAAACTCATATCAGAAGAGATCCTATTTTCATGTGAATTTTCTCCTGCACCAGTGCAAACGTCCACATTTTTTTTAAATCCGCATATGTTAACTCCTTTTAGAAATTCATTAAAGAACAAACTTCTAGAAATTCATTGAAGAACAACTTTTGCTTTCAGTTCTACACCAAGAGTAGATAGACTACAAAAAATTTCTTTAAAAAAAACTAATTCATTTCTCTTGATAACTTGCCGACTTTATTTCTTCAATTTGGATTTTGAACTTTTGTTGAAATAGAGAGAATTATCTTTTAATTACAGAAAAAAAAAAAAAATAACTTTTACGAACTTCTATATATATATATCACTCTTCTCATTCCATATTTAACTATGATTCTATTTATCACTATATGATACAAATGACTGTTTGTAAGGTTTAAGTCGTGATTTTAAGTTTCATTTTAGAATGTTCATTTAACAAAAACCTTCCATTGTTTTTTTTTTTTTTTTTCTTTTAAAATTCAAATGTGGTACAAGAGTGACAACTCAACAGATTCTAAACGTATGTTTTCTCTTAACAAAATTATATAATTTAATGCATAGATTGAAGAAGCAGAGGGAGGAATTCTCTTTGTGGACGAAGCGTACCGACTAATCCCCATGAACAAGAAAATAGAAGGAAGCTGGGACTTCGGTTTAGAAGCCTTAGAAGAGATAATGTCAGTCATGGACACTGGAAAAATTCTAGTCATATTCGCAGGCTACAACGAACCAATGAAACGTGTAATATCTTCCAACGAAGGTTTCTGCAGAAGGGTGACCAACATATTTTATTTTAACGATCTGAGTTGTGAAGAAATAGCGAATATCGTCCATATAAAGATGAACAATAATCAGGAGGATCAAGATAGCTTGCTTTATGGGTTTAAACTGCATTCTTCTTGTAGCATTGAGGCCATTGCGGCTTTGATCGAGAGAGAGACAACGAAGAAGCAGAGGATGAAGATGAATGGAGGGTTGGTTGGTCCGATGCTTGATAATGCTAAGGGGAATTTGGATTTAAGGTTGAGTGATGATTGTGTAGATGGTGATGAATTGAGAACTATCAGATTGGAGGATTTAGAGGCTGGTCTGAGGGTTTCATTTCGATCCATTGATGTTTGGGATCGATAAAACTGATTAATTTAGAAGAAATAAAGCTAGCTTGAGCGTTTGTAATCATTAGTTTCAGTATTTGAGATAATAAAATTAATATATTATTTTTCTTTTATTTTCGTTCTTATCATGTAGAAGTATGAATTGCTTCAGAAAGAAGAACCGAGCCTAAGACGAAAACTCGAAAAGTAAGCCCACCTTGAATCGGATCGGGCTAAGATTTTAGACTCAAAAGCCCAACTAGGCTCCGATGAAAAGATTGGAGTAAGCAGAGCATGAAGTCCATCTTCAATCGGATCGCTCTTAGATTTTAGACACAAAAGCCCAATTGAACTTCTAACCGTATTTAAGCTCTAACAAAATTTAATTACCATATAGAAAATAAAAAATAAAATTATTAATTAAAATTTATAATAATTTCATTAAGTTTTAAATTTTTTTATGTAAACGAAATATTTATTAATTTTTATAAAGTAAAGAAATAAATTTTAAAATTTTTTGCTCATTATTATCATTTAGAGGTTTATATGCTTGGGTCAGTGTGGCACCACATAAGAAGAAAAAAATGTTTGCCTTAAATGACATTTTCTCACCTAAAAAGTTTCAAAATACTATTTTTTCACCAAAAGTTAATATTTCATTACAACCTAAAGCCGATTTGGGTGGCTAAAATTCTCTCTGCCACATAATTTGAACTTTCGGTCTCCTCTCTATTAAACTCATTTCACTTCGATACCTTATTTCTCACCTATTGCTGGATTAACTAATTTTCGACTGATTTCGATAATGAATATTTAATCAGTCACCATCATTCGATCTATTGGCTTTCAATCTACAAAACCTAAAAAAACCCTCATACTCTGGCTCCTAGTAACTCTCCGAACACTTTCTCAGAAAATGCAATGTATTTTGGGTAATAGCAGAATATAAACTTTGAATGAGAAAGTCATATTTTGAAACTTTTTGGGTGAGAATCATTACCTTGGGTGGGAAGAAGTCGCTTACTCAAAAAAATAAAAAAAAAATAAAAAAGGGTTCCCTCATTTTTAAATTAAAAACACCCAACTGTTTGAAACATCTTATTTAAAAGTTTAAATTTTTATTTTTATTTTATTTTATTTTTTTTATAAAACCCGTTCGTTATATTTATTTATTTTTCTTAAAAGAGTAAACAATCAATTCATTCACTCTTATTTTTTGCCTCATTATCATCACTATCAAATACAATTTTAGAATTCATTCACTCATGTTTTATGCCTCATTATCATTATTCTCAAACACAATTTTAGAATTCAAACTGAATGTTCAAAAGAATTGATATTAAAAAAAAAAAAAAATCATTCCAGATAGCTAACCTGTTAACATAATACAGCTAAATACAAACAACCATTGATATAAGAATAATTTTTAATTACAACATAAATAGTTTGAAGGAAAAAAAAAATTATATTTGAGTAAAAAGCAATAAAATATAAATTAAATTGAAAATAATTAAAAAAATTACAATTTTATATTGCATATAATTTGGTATATTCCATCGAAAAATTAGGATTTTATTATATAAAATTAGGGTGCAAAAAGTATTTATAAAAATTAAGGAAACACGAATAAGTTTAATAATATTAAAAATATAGAGCATATTAAATCCAACAAGGGGGACGAATAGAATCTCTAGAAAAATGGGTTTAGCATGGCATAAAGCCCATTATGAGTTGGGCCAGGTTAAAATTAAAAGCTTAATGGACTGGAATTCAGACCAGCATGAAATATGTATCTACAATGGAAGAGAGATTGTGCCACAAACTGTCCAGTGAACCTCTCAATTAAAAAGACCTTCACTCTCTCAAAGTTTCCCAGGTTGATTTTGTGATCATAAAATAGCAAAGTAGAGAAGCCAAATAAAAAGTTTTTGGTTGCCTATGAATATAGTTTAATTCCCAGTAATAGACAATTTGGGTAGCCGAGGCTAAGCTAAAACTTCTTTATTATCACATACTGAATAAGTTATATAGTAGAAGAAATCCACTTATTCTCAGAATCAAATGTTCTAATATCCGAATTTATGGCTGAAACAACGATTCTACAGCAGACACATAATATTTAAAAGATGATAACAGCATGGGGACTAATTATTAGGTAATTTACTGGTGATGGGGACTAATTTGAGCTGAAAAGGCTGTAGTGGGACTTACAATCAGTTTCCTTGGAGGTGTGCCCTCCAAAAGAGGTCTTCCTGTGCCTTCCAGAAAAAGAGGCCTCCCTGTGTCGACGAGGGAAGTTCTTCTTTTACCGTGGGTCGAAATCAGGAGCCGAAAAGTCCAGTTGAGGACATTGGGTACAAACACCCTGTAAAGTAGGAATATATCGTACCAGTTTGGAAACTTCACGTATGCATCCCCCCGACAAGCTCCGGCTACTATTAACCTTGCGAAATCCTCCACAGGGCCACCGGTCACATGGACCTAAAATGAACATGTAATGAGAGCAAGACTTGAATTGTTATATCCTTAATGCACATTAAGACTAATGAACTTCCACAACGGCCGGACTCTTGTGCACTAAATGGCAATGACAAATTATATGGAAACTTACGTCTCTTTCTTCTTTCCATTGCATCTCTGCACCCTCTTCCAGCATGAATTTGCCTCTGGTCATTTCGCTTCCAACCCATCCATGAGTTGCAATTGTTATTCCAACGTCGTCACTCAATTCAAATCTCAACGTGTCATAGAAGTTTAAAAGAGCTGCTTTTGCAGCCTGCCAAAAAAGGAAACAAAAGAAGATTACACAAAACTTGAGAGCCGAAATGAAATTTTGAAACAGATTAAGAAATTAATCACTTGTTCAAGTAGATCTCATATTATTTTGCATAGTGCATTTCAATTTATTTTTCGGGGAACTCACAGAGTAAAGGCTCATTCTTGGCAGAGGTAACCAGTTCTCCACTGATGCATTCACAACGATACGACCATTGCTCTCATGTAGGTAAGGAAGAGTAACAAGGGTCGGATAAACGTTTCCCCAAAAATTTATGTCCTACGAAATGATACTCAAATACCAAATCGTATTAGCACCAGCAATGAACAACAGAGATAGTACGTTAAATAAAAAGCAAGTCAAATCAAGCAACATTCTAATGCCGAAGAATTTTAACAATTCAGAATGATTTGTGATTAAAATAAATGAGTTCAATTATTGCATTTTTTAGCCTTACCATCAAATGAGGGAACACAGAGGTATCCATGACTTCCTCAAAGTAAAATGTATGTCCCAAACTTGCTGTGTTTACCAGATGGTCCACTGCAAAATAAAAGAAACAAAAAGAAAAATAATAATTGAGAAATAGTTATTTTCATACATCATGAACTAATTTGGATGGCACTTACCACGTCCGAAGACATTTATGGTTTCATTAACAAATCTTCTACATTCCTCTTCCTTGACAACATCTGCAGCTATGACTATAACGTGCCTTGCGCCCATATGGCTTGCATTCTCACTGATCCCTCGGAGTCGGTGATCTCTCCGTGCCACCAACACAAGATTCGCCCTCCTCTTTGCATATTCATATGCAATTTGCTGAAATTAGAAATACCTATTCTATAAAATAATAGTGATTTCTCAAGTTTGTATGCGGAAGAAGAATTAATTGCATAACTGGTATGAAACCTTTACTACATTGACTACAGGATTCGAAAAGTCATATTTTTTTTTTTAATGAAATAAAAATGAAGATATAAACAGAAACCATTGTTGCTGCCAGAAATAATAGGCTCACTAAAGATAGAAAAATAAAAAAGAATTAAACTAGCACATTCTACTAATCCTGGCTATCCATCGGCTGTAGGTTGTGTAAATTTTCTGTGATTGATATCTGACCACCACATTTTCACATGAATCTGTTTTGTTTATGGACTTGCACATTTCAGTATGTTCTCTTAACGCTTTTAATATCTGTAATGACATTTCCTAATATCGCAATTCCCCAGATTTTTGTATACAATGCGTTGTTTATTCATGGCCAAATTGTATTACAATGACCAAGGCCAACCATAATTCATAAACTCTCACCATATGGTAAGTCCTCATAACTGCTCTAGATGGTTATAACTTCGTTATTACAATTAATTATCGGTCACATGCAATTTCTTTACAGATTGCAAATAATAAGGGGGAGAATCCTGCAGCAGTTAACAGTGGCTGTTTAGCCAATTTTAATTGGAACTCATAGCAACTTCTTGGAATGGAAACATTGAGGACCGGAAACCACCGGACCACTTAGGCAACTGCCCCTGCTACTGCAGTGGCCATAGCTAACGCAGAACCACATCGGTACCGAGCTTCTACTGGTTCTTGCAATTTCAAAAAAATGACACATTTCTAGGGCTTTAATTTAATTAACTACCATTACTATAAATTAAATGTTTAACATATATGCTTAAGTTAGGAATGTCAAATAGACACTTTAAGCTACATTAAATCCCCAAATCTATCTTAAATTGCTATAAAGGATCAACTTAAAATTAACAGTAAATGGAAAGCTAAATAATTAAAAAAAAAAAAAAATTAATTGCTACATACATTAAATCCCCTGCCTGAGGATATACCAATTTAATTTGAACTTCGGCTGACCGATTAGGATCAAAATAAAATAACATTAACGATGAAAATCAAAGACACGTTATTGTTAAGATCATTAATGCAAAAGAATATTCAAATAAAAACAGAAAATTTAGAACAAATTAAGGTAAAATAATTAACTTGCCTCTCCTATACCAGAAGAGGCTCCGGTGATGATGACCACCTTTTCTTCCATATCCTCACCGTACAAACTGTTGTAAAGCCATTCACAGGAGTTTATAAAACACAGGGCTGGCCATGCAAAGGCCAGCATCACCAAGCTCGCTGGGGGCACCATCAAATTCAGAAAAGTGTTTAGAAAATCCATTTCTAGAAACCCAGAAAGGCTCACAAAAATTGAGGGAAAGTTTACAAGTTTTATATTGATAAGAGAGAAACCAAAATGGGAAAGAAGTAGAGAAGTGAGGGCTTGAGTTTTGGGTTTTGGCATATATTGCTAGATTATCAACACATGCATGAGAGTTGCCAACACGTATTGCTTTTAAAGCTTCTTTTTGTGACGAATGGAAAGGATTTTGGACGTTCTTGCATGGGTGCTAGCCATTGAATTCATTTGTTGTTTAACAAGCTAATGTAGGATTTGAATAATATTTCTGCTTTATTTTTATATGAAAATAAAATTAATAATTTTATACATATTAGGTGGTATTTTAATTTTTATTTTATTTTAAAAGTAATGTATCAATTTTATTAGATATCTGCCTTATTATGTATAATAACATTTAATATTATATAAGATTACATATTATATAGGAAAGAATTTTGAAATGAATAATATTATACTTATAAAGACTTTATACAAAATATTTCCTATAAAGTTACGTGTCAGATTTTGATTGGATGAATTAATATAAAAAATTCATTTAATAAATACAAATTAAAAGATAGTGAATGATATGATATTGTAAAGATAATGTCACGTCACTTTGTATAGATAATTTTGTATAAGTTTTTTTGTAATCATAGTATTTATTCATTGGAAATATTATTTGAACAACATTACTTATAATAATAAATTTGGTAAAAATCCGGTAAAATGAAATTTAATCACAATTTTAATTCAATAAACATTTCGTATTACTGTTTCATTTTCTTTCCATTTTGCTCCTGTTTCCACATATTTTTAAACCTTCCCTTCTTATCTAACGTATCAATCTCTAAAATTATTCAAATTTGATTGAACTCAAACACAATATTTTATTAAGTTCAGTACATATATTAAGTCATTGAGGTTCTTTTACTGGAAATGAGCCATTAAACAAACAAATCCCAAAAGTAAGCCCAAATCCAATTTTTCTGGGGGACCACAGAAAATCCATTAGAAGTCAAGAAGATTGTGAACAATTGTATAGCGGAAAATGGGCCATCGAACAAACAAAAGCCCAGAAGTAAGCCCAAATCCAAATTTTCTCGGGAACCAGAGAAAATCCATAGAAGTCTAGAAGAGTGAACAAAGACATCCACAAATTATGATCCTCAAACCCAACGTCATGAAACAAATTTCAAAGTATTCAAATTTTTCGAAAATATTTAAACTCATTTCTATCAATTTTGACACAATTTTACACACAAATTTATATCCATTGATTTAAGGCAATTTAACTGATATAAAACGACAGTTAAAGATGTGTAGACATTTGTGTCTGAAATGTTAATTAATTAAGGCAATTTAACTAATATAAAACGACAGTTAAAGATGCGTAGACATTTGTGTCAGAAATGTTAATTAATTAGGGTAAAATAGGAACAAAAATTGTATTACCCCCAACTTTTTTTGGACAATCAGATTACACTTAATATCATTTACAGTAATCACTATTCAGATTAAAAGATCATTAGAATCTTTTATTACTTAACAACATAATAACTAGATTTTAAGATAGATTGTCGGAATAATCTTTTATTACTGTTAACCAAAGTAAAATCTAGATTTTAATGTTAACTTATGAACTTTTCAACCATTAGATTATAGTAAACCAAGGGCCAATATTTTGTGTTAAGAATTTGAGTCAAAATTGTGTGTCATTATAGCATCCTTAAATTGTATATTAACAAACCTTAATTATCTTTTCAAATTTCTCCTAAAAACCCTTCAATCAAATAAGAATGCTCTGAGTCCGTAATTTCGGCTTGTTTGACGAGAATAACGACTGGTTTTGGTTGCACAAATTTACACACTGATCAGAGGATTTAAATATATACTTGAGTGTCAGTGACGCCGAACACCTCCAAAACAGTAGCCAATAATGCATTTACATAATTGGTTCATGAATTATTGGATTTTCAAAAGAAAATTCCACTGGCTCTAATTTTTGAAGGCCTATATATATATATATAAAATTACGCAACATTGAACTTCTTATAAGTTGATCAGTTCATATTAGAAACTCAAAGTAGTAAAATTCTAAGCATGCCCAATTAACCTACGGGAAGGATGGGTGGTTTTTGTTGTTATGCGTAAATGCCTAGTTGCTAAGAAATGGAGCATCGCCTTCCACGACTTTGAGGTGTGAACGAAACATATGCGATGAGCCGCCACTGGTTTTATATTGTTTTATTTCCAATTGTGTGATGTGCAGCCACTGCTTTTATATATTTTTATTGCCAATTGGGTGAGTGCCATAGCATGGGAAATTTGACCAGCGAGTTGCATTGCCTTTTTAAACAAATCGACTCTCATTGATCTTAATCATCTTATATTGTTTCTTTTAGAATTTCACATTGCCATAAATTAAAAACCATGAAGCAATACTTTTTCAATGCATGTATTTTCCCACATTCCCTTCATTTGTTTCATCTTTTATGGATGATAACCTTAGCCTCATCAGGTTTCGCATCGGATGAACTCGCTTTACTTGATTTCAAGCAACGAATAACTCCCTTTCAAATAATGAGATCCAGGAATTCTTCTATCCATTTCTGCAATTGGATTCGTGTTACCTGCAGTCCAACTAATGGAAGAGTCGCAATCTTGAACTTGAGCTCGCAAAAGTTGGTTGGTTCCATCCCACCTTCTATAGGAAACCTTACATCTCTTACTGCTATCAACCTGGGAAACAATGGCTTCCATGGTGAAGTTCCTGAAGAAATAGGCCGGTTACCACGCCTGCAGAATCTCACCTTGAATGACAATCGATTTAGCGGGAGTATTTCGACGAATATATCGCGTTGTACAGAACTTAGAGTATTTGATCTTAGTTTCAACGAGTTTAATGGGCAGTAGCGGAGGAGCTTCGTTCATTATCAAAGCTGGAAGTGTTCGTCCTTGCAAATAACAATCTTACAGGAAAAATTCCATCCTGGATAGGGAATTTTTCCTCTCTGGAAGAGCTGTCACTTTCTTGGAATTATTTGCATGGAAACATTCCACTTAAAATAGGCCAACTATCAAGCCTCGGATTTCTTCAACTTTCGGCAAATTTTCTGTCTGGTACGATCCCTCCTTCAATTTATAATCTATCATCTATCTATACTTTTGCGGTGGCTCGAAACCAGCTCCACGGCTAGCTGCCTTCAGATTTGGGTTTCACTTTCCCTAATCTTGAAGCATTTGCCGGTGGTGTTAACAATTTTACAGGAAGTATTCCTGTTTCATTGTCAAATGCCTCTAAACTTGAGCTTCTTGATATGGCTGAGAACGGTCTCACCGGGACCATTCCTGGAAGCTTTGGAAATTTGCAAGGTCTAGTTAGACTCAATTTTGAATTCAATAGACTTGGAAGTGGGAAAACCGGTGACTTGAATTTTCTATCTTTCTTGACTAATTGTTCTAGTCTCGAACTGTTGGGTCTTTATGTAAATCGATTTGGAGGAGAACTGCCTGACTCCATAGGGAACCTTTCAAGCCAGCTGCAAATGCTTACCTTGGGATCAAATTTGATTCATGGGAAAATCCCTTTTGGGATTGGAAATCTAGTTAATTTAACAGCTCTAGGATTGGAAAATAACAACTTTAGTGGTACTGTTCCTGATGATTTTGGAAAGCTCCGAAATCTACAAGTATTGGATTTGAGTGACAACAATTTTTCAGGAACAATTTCATCTTTCCTAGGGAACTTGACTAAATTGAATACGCTTTTTATGGCAAATAATAAATTTGAGGGTAGCATACCTCCGAGTCTAGGAAATTGTCAACATTTGAAGACGTTGGATTTGTCTCGTAATAATTTGAAGGGCACCATACCTAAAGAAGTCAAGTATTTCTTCCCTTTCAATTGCTTTGGTCCTGTCTTAACAATTTTTTGAGTGGCTCGTTACCATTTGAAGTGGGTAGCTTGAAAAATCTTGTAGAATTGGATGTCCAACAACAAATTGTTAGGAGAAATCCCAAATAGTCTTGATGGTTGTAGTAGTTTGGAACGTTTGTACTTGGAGAGCAACAAATTTGAAGGAACTATTCCCCAATCTTTGATAAATATAAGAGGTTTAGAAAAATTAGATCTTTCTCACAAAAACTTGTCTGGTCAGATTCCTGCATTTTTTAGTGAACTTAGATCTCTTAGGAATCTCAATCTTTCATATAATAAATTTGATGGTCAGGTCACTAAAGAAGGAATATTCGCAAATGCAAGTGCCATTTCAGTTTACGGAAATGAAAAGCTCTGTGACGGTATCCCAGAACTAGTTTTACCTCTCTGCTCGAAACATGTTTCTAGAAATCATTTTAGACCCAAAGTAGTAATTGTAATAACTATTTCTGGAGCCGTGCTTCTTTTTCTTCTATCTAACTTCTTTTGTTCTTTATTACATCATGAAATCATCAAAGAGACAACCCACTTCATCTTCGATTGAGCTACAATTGGGTTTGTCTTACTTAGAGATCTTAAAATCAACCAATAACTTTTCTGAAGAAAATTTAATTGGCTTTGGTAGTTTTGGTTCGGTATACAAAGGTATTCTTTCTAGTGATGGACAAATTGTTGCAATAAAGGTATTAAAAGTTGATCAACGGGGAGCTTTAAAGAGTTTCGATGACGAATGCAATGCTTTAAGAAGAATACGACATTGTAATATTCTTCGAGTCATAACTGTTTGCTCAAGTATTGATTTTGAAGGAAATGACTTCAAATGTTTAGTTTTTGAGTTTATGCCTAATGGAAGTTTGGACAAATGGTTACATCCGACTGTTGACGAGCAACTTGCTGGAATCAAGAAAATGAACCTTATTCAGAGACTGTCTATAGCAATTGATGTTGCTTTTGCATTTGATTATCTACATCACTATTGTCAGACAACAATTGTTCATTGTGATTTAAAGCCAAGCAACATACTATTAGATGAAGATATGACAGTCCATGTCGGTGACTTCGGATTGGCGAGGTTCCTTTTTGAAACATCAAACAATGCCTTCCAAAATCAAACAATGTCAGTTGGCCTACGAGGTTCTATTGGGTACATCCCTCCAGGTACGTAGTTAATTATTTTTCATCATGATAATCATACCTAATTAGTTCATGCATTACCATTTTCTCTAAGTCACAAATTTAAAAGTCCAAAAACCAACAATGTTTCTCATATCTAGTAAAACAAAAAGCGATGGTGAACAACACTGCCTACCCAAATTCGTGTATCCTAATTACAAATTTTAAAATTGCAGAGTATATGTGTGGTCAAGTTTCTATGCTTGGAGACATATATAGTTATGGTATATTGCTGTTGGAGATGTTTACTGGGAAAAGACCTACAGATGAGATGTTCAAAGATGATTTCAGCATTTACAAGTTCGTTTTCATAGCCTTTCCAAATCATGTCATGGATGTTGTTGACCCCTCGCTGCTCTTTGAAGAAGAAAATGAAGATGGTATAGAAGAATCCATAATCGACATTGAGTCTGGAATAAACAATAAAAAATTATTGGAAGAATGCTTGGTTTCAGTATTGAGAGTTGGGCTCCTCTGCTCAAAGACATCTCCAGAAGAGCGAATGGCGATGAACGATGTCGTCAACAGTCTAAAAGCTATGAGAAATTCATTTCTCAAGTCTAAGGATACGAACAGGCAAAGGAGGAGATAAATAGAATTATAATCCTCTCTTAAACCATAATCTCATGCACTTTTAAACATCTTATCACATGTTGAAATTAGTAATAGCTATGTATGATTAAATAAAAAAAAAAGCGGAAAGTTTTTGTGTTTTTTATATCTCATTGGCTTTTATCAAATTGGGTTAGGCTAAAATCCCTTCAACATGTATTATATACAATATAGGGATATTTTATTGTTAACAGAATTCTTCTTATCATAATTATATTTCTTTTTATATAACATTTTCCAATGAGATATAAATTTATTTACAAGAAAACCAACTCAATAAAACAAGCCAAAATATCTTAACAATCTTCTACCATAGGAAGGAGTAAACTGTTGGAATAATTGTGAATTGTTGAGCAAAATTGTTGGCTTACATAATTTACACAACCATTTAAATGGACACGGGATGACCGGATGAGGAGAGAATAAAAAAAATCTTAGATATTTAGTATTATACACATTTATAGTGTGGGGAGATTTCTATTTTCCTTTCGGGTCTTGTTTCTTTGTTGTTTTGGCTTTATTAGCAAGGTTTTAAAACCCGGACCGGACTGGCTGGTTCTACTAGTCCGATTAGGAACCAGCCCCCTCTCTGGTTCGGGGACACCTAAACCCTGTTTTAGCCATTGACCCAAATTGACCCAAATTTGAACTAGTGGCTAAACTAGTTCAATAAAATCCCTAAAAACAAAATCCCTTTTCTAATTCCAATTCTTCAATCTTCATTCCTCATTCCATGCATCCTTCGATCGACCTACTCAGGCCGTTCTGCTCCACTACTCCATTGTTCGTCATTAGTCACACTTCACTTGGCCTCCATGTGATTAGATGAGTTTGATTTTGTAGACATTTAAGACATGGATTAATAAAATTTTGTTGCGGCAAATGGTGGTGTTTTGTAGTGAATTAGGGTTTTCGTGGTGTCCTAGTTGTGGTTTTTCTAGCGTTGGGATAATCTAGGATGGATTGTAGTTGCGGTGGCTAGGGTTTTCTAGCCAAATCATAGGGGTGTGTTTGTTGGATTTCAAACTTGTAGGGACTGATATGTAATTTTAGGAGTATGTCTGTTAAGTTTCAAACTAGTTGGATATGTTGATGTCGTCGATAGATCGATCGAACTGGTCGGACCATGTTGACCCTTGACCAGGTGAAGGCTCGCATCGGGTTTAAAAACAATGTTCATTAGTGGATTTGATTTTTGTTGTAAAGTTGTTTGTAATTAACACGATCCTGTATTTTCTCTTTATAATGGTTTTTGTGTATCTTTGTTGCAAATATTGAAGAATTTTAGAGATTGAAAGAAAAAAATCTAGAAGATTCAAGAATTAGTTGTTGAAGAACGATGAAATAATGTTTTTTTCATTAACTAAATTCTATAATAGAAAACAACCACTTATATAGTTGTTTGCTCTGTATGAAACGACAGTGTTTTACATTTTACCTATTTGAACCTAAACAATATAACTTGTAAACATTACAAATTAGTCCAATACACAACTACATAGTGAAATCAATGCACTAAGCTTGAGACTTCTAGCACACATTACTTAACATTTCCCCTTAAGCTAAACTATCTTACTTTCCTTGTTCCATTCACTCTACTCAATATTTCCCATTGAACTAAACTCTCTTGCTTTCCTCTTTTCATTCACTTTACTCAACATTTCCTCTTGAGCCAAATTCTCTTTCTGCTTTCTTTAGAGAAGGTTTTTTGTTGACTTTTGACCTCCTGTAATTGATTACTATTGCCAACTTGACAATTATTTAGGTTAGCACAAAAAAAAAAAAAAAAAAAAAAAAATTCATTGTATCAAAATACCATCATCTTCACAAACTTGATCTTCTATCAATAATGATTTGTCTTTAGTTTCAATAATCAGTGTTGGTAGAGAAGAAACAACAGTCAACCTGTCTTTAAGAGCTTGAAATCTGTAAGCATGAAGTGCTTTTGTTAGTACATAAGCAATTTGACATTCAGAGGATATAAACTTAACAAGTTTCTTGTCAACAACCAACTCCCTCACATAATGGACATCGATCTCAATATGCTTAGTCTTGGCATGAAACGCAAGATTAGATGATAGTGCCCCTGCACTCATATTGTCACACCAAAGAAATGGAACACTATTTATTTGTACGTCAAGTTCATGAAACAAATTTTGAATCCAAACTATTTCGATGGCTACTTGGCTAAAGGCTCTATATTTTGCCTCTGTTGAAGAAAGAGCGACCACCTTCTATTTTCTAGAACTCCACAACATCAAGTTCCCTCCATGAAATATGCTATAGCCTATTGTGGATCTCATTTCACCAACATCACTTGCCCAGTCAACATCGACATAGAAAAGGACTCTTTTGTGAGTAGTCCTATAGTTTCTAGTAGGAAACTGAAGAAATCGACTCAACTTGTTAACAACAAAAGCTGGATTAGGTCTGGACAAAGTTAAGTATTGTAGACCACCTACAAGGCTTCTATAAAGAGAAGGTTGGTAAAAAAAAAATCACTATCTTCTTTCATCATTTTAGTGCTTGTAGCCATAGGAGTATTGTAGGGCTTGCATTCTTTTAAACCAACTTTATGTAGTAAGTCTTGAGCATATTTGGACCGACTGAGAAATAAACCTGACTAATCTCTTTGTACTTCAAAACCAAGAAAATAGTTTAAAGACCTAGAGTTTTCAAAGCAAACTTGTTATTCAGGTCTATAACTATTTGATCAATCAATGTAGAGTCATTCCTTGTAATGAGAATGTTGTCTACATATGCCAACAAGTAAACCACTTAAGACCCCTTTTTAAAGAAAAATAGATTTGTGTCAAAAATAGAACTTAGAAATCCCCAATCAGTTAGGGTTGTCTTTAATTTGTCAAACCATGCCCTTGGTGCCTATTTTAACCCAAATAGGGCCTTGTTGAGTTTACATACATGTTTGGGTTGAAGATGATCAGCAAAGCCTTCTAGTTGCATCATAAATATAGTTTTTATAAGTTCTCCATTCAGAAAGGCATTATTGATGTCCATTTGTTGTATATCCCAATTGTTATGAACAACAAGTGAGAGCATGATTCTTATAGTGGTAGGTTTAATGACAGGAGAGAATGTGTCAAAGTAATCCAAACCTAAAGTTTGTTGGAAACCTTTAGTCACTTGTCTTGCCTTGTATTTCTAGAGAGTGCCATCAGACTTCAACTTTGTTTTGAAAACCCACTTACATCCTACAACATGCATATTTGAGGAAAAAGGGACCAATTCCCAAGTTTTGTTTCACAAAAGAGCTTCAAATTCATCATTCATTGTTTCCTTCCATTTTGGAATCATAAGGGCTTCTAAGGTTGTTTTTGGTTCATCCAAGATGGAAAAGGTAGAGAGGTAGCCATATCTTAAGGTGTGGTGAGCATGAGTCTTTGATCTAGTAAGCATTGGATGCTTATTTGTGCTTTGTGTTTCCTTTAGAAGAGGCAGAACAACTTCTAACTGAATTCTTGGAAAAGAAGTCTGACCAGTAGAAGTTTCCAAGGGCACTAGACTTGGATTAGAATTGGAGATGTTAGTAGTAAGTCTACCTGGTGAAGTAGAAAAATCAGACCTTAGAGGTAATGAACCTGAGATATTAGAAGTAATCTTCTTAGATGAACTAGTGAAATTGGAATCAGATCTCAGAGACAATGAGGAGGAAGTCTTATCAGTAGAAGCTTCCAAGGGCACCAGACTTGGATTAGAACTTGAGATGTGAGCAATAGATCTTCTTGATGCATTAGTAGTATCAGGCCTCAGAGGCAATGAAACATTATCACAAACATTTTTTGTAGAACAAAATTTTGAGAAAGAACTAATTTTATCAGTTCTAACTAGGGGTGTTCAAAAGAACCGGTTGGAACCGGAACTGGAGGGTACCTGGGGTTTGGTTCCGGTTCCTACCCAAAACCGACCGTCAACGGGTAGCTTTCGATTCCAAATTTTTGGAACCATTACTGTGCAATTCTGGTTCCTATAGTTAGGAACCAGAACCAGAACCAGGAACCGAGACTAATATAAAAACTAATTAAAGATTAGAGGGGTTAATAAAAACTTTTGTAGAAAGAGTAATGTAAATACATTTATATTTATATTTCATAACATTTAAAGTAAGTTGGTTTGACTTTTGAGAATCTACCTTTACAAAGTAATGGAGTTTGTAATTTTGAATTTATAATTTGTAATTTTATTTTTGTTAACTAGTGCCAGGCGGGGGGTTTTTGTAAGTTTTAAGGGTTTTTTTTACCATTTTAAAAACTTTGAGGGGTCCTTGTAATTTTATAGGGTACCCAGAACTGGAACCGGAACCATTGTTACAGGTTCTGGTTCTGAGTACCTAGTCAGTTCTGGTTTTGATTCTTTAAAAAAATGCAGGGTACCTGAAACTGAACACCCATAGTTCTAACTGAGAGGGTGAACTATTCTCAAGAGAATCTTGTGAAGGTGAACCTGTCATAGTAACAGAAGAAGTCGTACTTGTGTTTAAATAATGAGCAAGATTCAATGAAGAAAGGAAACTATCAATATTAGGATGAGAGTCTAAACCATCTATGACACCATCTTTAAAGAGAAAGCACTTGAAACCAAGCTTGAAAGGAAAAGATGTTTCATCAAATTTTGCTTGTTTTACTATGTAGACTCTGCTTGTGGAGGAAAGGCACTTATAACCTTTATGGGCAAGGTTGTAGCCTACAAAGACACAATATGTTTAGCGTGGTAAGAAAATTTATGCTTCTGATAAGGTCTTATGTAAAAGTAATAAGAGAAACCAAAGACCTTAAGTTCATTATACATGGGAAATAGTTTTTGATAGGGAGAAACATCTTCTAGGACAGATGAAGGAAGCTTCTTAACAACATATAGTGCTGTACAAAAGGCTTGCCACCAAAAACACAAGGGCATACTGGCATGTGCTAGGAGAGTTAATCCAAACTTTGTAATTGTCCTATGTCTCCTTTCTACTCTTCCATTTTGCTAGTGTAGGTAAGGACATGGATGTTAAAAGCCAATACCATTCTTTTTAAATATTCAATAAAAGACCTGAACTCACCTCCCCAGTTAGTTTGTAG